TGAGAAAATCTTGCCACAATTGAGGTAGAGGTTGTGTGCATCAGAGGACTTCCAAATTGGTGATGCCTTCAGAACCCAAGTATCCCGACGATATCCACACTCTCTCTGGAAATGTATCAAAGGTGGACTGGTCTAGGTATCTCAGAATCCACTCACGTCTTAGATTAAAGCCTGCTTCTACACTTTGAAGGCTGTGAAGGGTAGTATAGTACTCACAGAATGTCTTCTATTTCACCAGATGGTAGAGCATGGTTACTGTTTTATCTGACACCAAATTGTTGCTTGCATTGCTGGATCATTGTAGCTAAAAGCCTGTCACACTTATTACTGTGTTCATGGCACAAGTAACTGCTAATCAGGAGGGACCTTTTCATTTTAATTTCTTCATTAAATCTACCAATTTGTCTCTTTGCGCTATCAATCTACTTATAGTGTGGATTCCGGTGTCCTTATTATGGAGTCAAGTTCCGATATGCCCTTATGCAGTGAGCAAATGGTTTCTACTTTTTTATTTCTTCATTATGTGCCCAGTGAGATAAAATGTATCTGACAGATTATTATTTCAACTATTTTTTTTAAATGCTAACATTAGCGACGGCCATTTTAGTGACTACAAACGTGTCCATGGATGATGGTGACAAACATGGATACGAGCTCTAGTTTCACATCTATGAGACAACTGGTTTCAAACTGATTGACTTCTCTTGTAAAAAAAGCTGAATATAAGTCATATAATAGCATCACAGACTAAGTAGCACATATGTAGATTGAGCAATTAGGGAGAAGATTTTTTTTTTTAATATCCATGCTTACCAAAGAGCAAGGTAAGTCTCTATCATCACATCACATTTCAAAAGTTTTAATGAACAATTTGGACTTTATAGGTATTTGGAAGACATGTAAGAATAATAGTGGTATAAAATAATAATAATCCAAATAAAACTAACAGGTTGCCAAAATAATGTGGCTACTAGGCCAAATAAAAATAATAATCTGAACAAAAACAATATGCTGTCTAGCAACTTCATTACCGAGCCACATAATAATGACCGTCTTTCAGCACAGAAAATGCTTAAGTTTTATCTACCCTAACTTCCTATGTTCCTCTACATTCTCTTCTTTAAAAACACTCAGTTGACTAATTGATTTGTACTAACAGCTGTCGGATTACAGTGTGTAGCAGAATCCCTTTAGCTTTGACATCAAGTAATGCATTGGAGATTGCTTGACTTATTTTTTCTATATTTCAGTTCAAGATAAATCTCGGGAGTACAGTACTCACAACAACCTTTGCCGTTCTTATATTGTAAATCCTTTTATTATATACAACAATGCCTATTGACAATCAAATAAACAGTCATGCTGTCAAAGCTGATGCTTAGCATTCATTACAATAAACAGTTAGGGTGCAGATTTGTTAACACCTTAATGGCCAAGCCTATGGCAAATTTTGTGATATTTAAGGAGCAGAGCAGTTTTGAAATTCTCATGTATTTCTGTAGGGTTGCAAAAGTAATGCAAAGGTTGTGCACAGGTAAACTCTATTTAGGACCAATTTGTCATCAGTGTCCCCTATTTAGCTCTCTATGGACATGTTTGCACGAGCTTGGCTAATTTAGTTTTTTTTTAATTATTTATTTTTGTTGTTCGTAAGATTATAACATTCGCATGTGAGGTACCCCAAAGGCAGTCCTCCAGCATATTAAAACAATTATGCATAGAGGTACATGGTAAAACAAGCACGTTTTTGGGGGGCTATAAACAGAGTGGATTTACGTTGCTTAGGTATTGTTATAATATAACACAAAATTGTTAACATTAGAACCTCAACTTTAGTGTAAGTTGCTTTGTACGCAGGCTTGGTCAGTGCGTGTGGTGGTCTAGTATCAACTTGTGTAATGCAGGTATTCAATGCTAGGTAAGAAGTCAGGCTAGTGTGGCTACGCTTTGTATTAGTCGTATTTAGTGTAGGTATATAGGCATCTCTCCTAGGTTTGTCATATATTTGTAACCCAGCATTTAATAATCATCATGTATCTTAATGTGAGTCTATGCAGGTATGTGACCTCACCGAGAAATTGCTAATAAGTGTAGATTTTAAACAAGCTGTGCATTGTTAATTTGTCCAATAAGACTATCCTCACTGAATGCTCCTGGTGCCCAAAGGTATATAGGGCTACCTCCGATCTTTCCCTGCAGTGAAGGGGTGACTGGATAAGATTAGAGTCTCTGCAGCAGGGAAGAGGTGCACTGTGCTGAGGTGTGTTCATCCGACGCCTGCAGCCAGGGCCTCAACTATTCCCTGCTAGGCTGTTGTGGTGGGCAGCTGCAACTCCACTTAGTTTTGTTAGGATGTGTGTCCTTATCGTCCGCAGGCATGTCTGTTCCTGAGCTCCCTTTCTCCTGCCGCTGGCTTTTCCAGACTGCCCTGGTCCGGCGGCATGTTCGGCGAGTTTTGGCTTGCTGGGCAACCTGGCTAGTATTTCGGTAAGTGGTGTGATTTCTTCTATGCTGGGTTGCCCTGTGGGGGTCGGCTGCTGCTGAATCCGCTGGATGGTAGGCTATTTCGGAACGCCAGCGGATCCCGCCCTGATGTGTGACAGCTTGGGTGCCACCGCCCGCCGCACCCTCAGTGCCCTGAGGGTGGGGGCACCCTCAGGGCACTATAGTGCCAGGAAAATGAGTATGTTTCCCTGGCACTACAGTGGTCCTATAAGCTTCTTCTAGAAGTAGTCGCAGAGCCGGTCAAAAAACTCTAGCATGTGTTTGGGTGGCTGAGTGAGGGTATGCTTAGTTCTGGGCTGCGCCTGTGCGGCCATTTTGGCTGGGCCCTGGCGGTCCCGTTTGGTTGAGGTTTTTGGTGCTTGAGCAGGCATTAATGCAGGGGTATTCGTCCCCAGCGAGGACCGGCATGTCTCCCACCGGTCCATGGGGGGGGGGGGTTGCAGGGCTGTAATGTGTCCTCATTTGTGGGCTCGTCCCGTGCCGGGTGATCGGCTGACTCCCCGGGCCCCGTGCTTTGCTCTGTTTTAGGCTGCATGGCCGGTTCAGGCTTTTCCGCGGCGCTCCGGTGTCGGGTTGGTATCACTTTATTGCTCTTGTCTTCTTGTATTCGTTCCTGTACTCCGTTTTCTGCTGACGCTTGTGGTTTGCTCGGTGCTAGCATTCTTTTGCTCGTTCTTGCAGGAGCTCTTAGAATGTGCGACCAGCCATCTTGGCTGTCAGGCCCCGCCCCCGAGCTTGGCTAATTTTTATTTCTGTATGTACCTGGTTATAATCATTAGAAAAAAATATACCATTTTAAATATGCATATTTGTGACGAACTGAACCTCGTCACGGGTGCTTGGAGGGGCCTGCTGGCCAGCCTATTGCCAAAAGACTACGGGCCAAGTCAACGACTGTAAAGACCCATATTTTATTCCCCCCTCCCCCCCCCCGGTTCTGCACTTTCCGTAAAACTGAACGCTAGCTCACTGATGGACATTCGCATGGACCAAAACTGTGAATAGACTTCAGGGGGACTTAGCCGCAAATGCCCTTGAACTATTTTTGTCATGAAGACTTCGCGGTTCCCGGTCGGTCCCCCAGCAGCACTTAGCTGCGATTCTATGGAACCGTTGTGGGCATGGGATCATGCGTGCAGGAAAGTCCTGAACTGATCTGGGTGAGTTTTGGATATGGTGGTCACCCAGATCAGGGCTATCAGGGGATGTAACTTTTGTTGGGATTTTATGTGTTTTAAGGTACTTTTGGGTTTTTGTAAAAATGTGTGTTTTTTGTGTTTGGACTTAATTGAGTTTAGTATAGTGCTTTACTCAATTATCTCCTAAGTAGAGGGAAAGCTTATTTTATTGTATGTGGGAGTGTCACGCATTGTAACACTGTTATTATTGGTCTGTGACTTTGTAACAGAGTTCCCAACAAGGTCCACGTGGGAGTGCCCCTTGCATGGGGATTGTCATAAAAGGCCAAGTGTGGCACCATTAAAATCAGTTCTTCTTCACCCTCAACATAGAGCCTCATCTCATGTGTGGACGGGACAGCTATATTCACCTTGGGGATTGCTATATCACAATACTCCCCTATGGATAATCACTAGCTGTTCCTGCTATACTCTCTGGAGTAGGAGAGGTTCACCCACTGGAAGCTGGATTTTGGTCTTGGGTCCAGGGTGGCTGGAGGACGACGAGCAACCAAGCTGTGGCAGTTTGTGTGTGTCCACAGTGCTGATGGTGTCTGGTGGAGTGCTTGGAGTCCTTGGTGAGCACTAGGAGCATCGACTGACAGAGGCACCCGGTTGGGGTGCCAGGCGGTCCGTCACAATATTTTTTTAAAGTAAAGTTTAGATTCCAGTTGTCTGCAGGTATACACATCTATTAACATTGCAGGCTCCACCAGAAGAACAGACATCAACGCATGCCAGGCTAACTGCCAATCACACTAGCTAGCCACATTAAATAACAACTGTACCCTAAAACTACTTTTATATAATATAATAATACTTTCATGAAATTTTAAAAGGAAATAGATTTTTTTTAAATTGAAGTGTATGTTAAAAATGAAAAAAATACTCATCCCTACCTTTAATATAACAAGATCCTTTTGCCTTGGGTCACCTTCGTCAGACAGTGTTTGAAAATCAACAGATAGTCTCGGTGGTATTCCTGCATTTTTGCAAGTGACAGTTGTCCTTTAAGGACAGAATATGGACAAAGCACTGTTATAATATTCTGTTAATGGATCTAGCATGTAGAGTAGAGTAGAATACATAAGCCTAATGTTCTCACTCTACCATTCTGGGGACAGTTGACATGACAACACAGGATTCTGAAATCAGTACTGCCTCACCAGATTCAGGACAGTTGGAAAGACTGTATACAACCCTAATGTAATATGCTGCGTACAACCATGTACATTTCCTCATAAATAGTCCCGCATATATTCTGATATGTTTTACATACACATTGCATTTTTCCTGTTTGTTTTATAAACTTGATGTATGCTAATATATTAAAAAGAAATTGTGCTCAAATATAATCTCCTAAACAAGGCACTCTCCCAATGCATATCTTCATCGTGTGTAAGGTTTATGTAACATTTTGGGGCTTTTTAGCAGCTCACAAATGTAAAGTATCCCATTAAAGAAGTGGACATCTTGGGTTATCTCATTTGGTGTATTTTGATCCTTATTGTATGGCCATTTTCCAGTATAACAATGTATGTCCCTACACTAGTTCTGGACCAATTCAGCAGGATTATGGCCTTACTGATAGTTTAGACCAGTGTTTCCCAACCCAGTCCTCAAGGCACACCTACCAGTCCAGGATTTAGGGATTACCCAGTTGTGTCTAAGGTGTTTTTTTTCTTCTTTGTAAAAACACCTTAGACACAACTGGGTAATCCCTAAATCCTGGACTGGTAGGTGTGCCTTGAGGACTGGGTTGGGAAACACTGGTTTAGACTTAGGGAGCACATCGCTATCTAGTATTACTATTTTTTCATAGAGCTTAGTGTGCAGTTTTTCTCAAGAGATACCCAATCTCGACAGCATCAGTAATGTAGTCATTTTAGTCACTACAGAAAAGAAGTACTGTTACATGATGACTGGTAAGCCTATGTAAAGGATTTACAGCATCCTTTAAAACCTGAACTATTGGATTCCTAAACTTACTACATTTGAAGCATGTGGAATATAGATATATACCAAATGCAGCCACTAAGGAGTGTACTATAATGTTTTATTTATGGCCTACTGTTTTGCACTATAGACAGTGCTGGCACGTCCATAAGGCGTCCCAAGCGGCCCGGGGGGAGCTAAATTGGAGTGACCGGCAGGATGAAGCGCACCGTGCTCCCTCCTACCATCCACTCAACTCCCTCCTACTGCCCCCACAGCAATATCCCATCTGTGCTGTATAAATATGGCGTAATAAAGTGACCTGTCCAATTGATGTAATTGGATGTATAATTTTTCTCTCTCAGAATTAAAGAGAACTCATACACAAGCAAACAGACCTAGGGCTCCACACTAGAGCAGAGCACCTAAAACGTTCATTCAGTATTCACAGATTTGTTTATAATTTGTTATATTTAGTTTTTATGTCAGCATGAATCTGTTTCTGTATGTTTCCATTATTGAGGTTTCACAGGTTACCTAAAAACTCTTCCATATGTTTTCATTTTTCCACACGTCTGTGATAGTTACAAAATAAGCCAATTGCAAACAAAGTAGATCGCTCTAGAAATACTTCTAATACGAATTCCATGTACAGGATATCTTTGTATGCCCAGATGTATTGTTCTTTCACTAGCCAGCATCCACAGGTGTTAACATGTAAAAAGAGAATTACTTATACAGCATAATAGTGTTAACTGTACTGAAATGGTTTCCACAAGAATAGCAGCACGGGAGATAGCAGGAGGAAACTGTGGTACATTCAAGTAGCTCGTGTCTTTCATGCAAAATGCATTATCACCAGTGTGAGTCGAGAAACAAGCAGAGGAAAAGGCCCTGTTTGGACGCTACATAGAGTACCTTACTGGATATTAACATGCACATACTCAGACACAAAGTATACAAGACTCACATCTTGGTAATGTTTTCTTGTGTGTACAAACGTTTCCTCTATTTCTTTTACTGTAGGAAGTTTTCCTCTCACTGTGAAGCCCTACGTACACTGGAATGGTTGTGTCACCTTCATAAGACTATGCTATGCTATGTGTGCTGAAATCTAGTTTTAAGTAAGTGGGCACATTTAGATGTATTATTTACTTGGGAAAATGTTGTATACGGTCAGCACTATTATGCCGCATATAGATTTTTTTTTACATGGTAAAACTTAAGAAAATATAATCTGTGTGTGTGAATTTGTAAAATAACTATTTCTGTGCATTATAACTTCTCTGCTTAATGGGACACTCTAGGAACCATAACCACTCCATTTTATTGAAGGGGTTATTGTGCCTGGTGTCCACTGGCACCATCCCATGACTCAGTGTTAAACTGTTTTTGAATGAGGGATCTTGAATGCCCATGGCTATGCCCCAACTGGAGATATGGCTAAAGCATAGTATAACTCCACATTAGACATACCAATCAATGCCAGCAATGGGTGCCAATGAGTGCTTAGCTAATATTCTCAGCCTATCACTAAAGCCCATTGCTGCTCAGACTAATTTGTATCAGCCCAAACAGAAAGCTGCCACTTTGCAGGTGACTGGGAATCAATGAGATTAAGTGTTATGGTGATCAGAGTGTCCCTTTAAGTGAGTCATGTAATGTTCCCACAATACCTGATGACCTTTTATATTTAAATAATAAATCTAGTAGGGCATTTTGCGTTATTTCTGTAACTTCGATATTCATTTTTCTTTTGCTTTTGTTTGTCCTCTTAATTTTACATTCCATGTGACGTGTGCCCTGAATTTTGAGACTGGTGTTGTAAATCAATAAACTCCTGTATTCTAAACCCTGCTGTGCCTATCAG